GGAGTTTCACGATACTTCAGTAGGTGGACATGCGGGGATCGAACGGACCTACATCCGACTCAACGCTAATTTTTACTGGCCGAGCATGCGAAAGGATGTCAAAGAATATGTTGAGAAGTGCGTCATATGTCAGACTGTCAAATACTCCACTTCGGCCCCCTATGGACTCCTGCAACTATTGGAGATGCCCGACAGAGTGTGGGAGGACCTAGCCCTTGACTTTATTGTTGGGCTGCCAAACTCGAAGGGAAAAATGACTGTCCTGGTGGTTGTTGATAGATTAACTAAATACGCCCACTTTGGAGCACTACCCTCCAACTATACTGCTTCCAAGGTCGCCGAGCTTTTTACTGGGATGGTAATTAAGTTACATGGAGTGCCGCAGATGATGGTGTCAAACAGAGACTCGATTTTCACAAGCAAGTTTTGGTCCAAGTTATTTGAGCTGATGGGCACCCGTTTGAAGATGAGCTCTGCCTACCATCCTCAAACGGACGGGCAAACTGAAGTCTTGAATCGATATTTGGAGCAGTACCTGTTCACTTTCGCTGCCGACAACCCAAAATAATGGTCAACCTTCTTGGGGTGGGCGGAGTATCATTACAATACTAGCCATCAGACCGCCATTGGGATGTCGCCATTCCAAGCCGTGTACGGAAGACCACCTCCTACTATTCTGGCATACACCAGGGGGACCTCAACCGTTCAGGCCATGGACGATTGCCTGTGCACCAGAGACGAAATTCTCTATCGTTTGAAGGACAATCTGCACCAGGCTCACAATAGGATGCAACAGCTCGCCTACAGGAAATGACAGGACAAACAATTCAACCTTGGGGGACCTTGTCTTGGTTAAACTCCAGCCCTATCGTCAGACAACTGTAGGCTGGCGTTTAAACTCGAAGTTGAGCAGGCGCTATTTCGGACCGTTAAAAATCATTGCCAAGGCCGGGCCGGTGGCTTATACGCTGGCATTACCCCCGAAAAGCAAAATTCACTCCACTTTTCATGTCTCTCTGTTAAAGGAGTTCAAGGGCGATGGGTCCACAGTTTCTTTTCCCTTACCAGAGTAGAGCCACGCCAACAAACCCATGATTTATCCCACGGCCATCGTGGTAGCTCGTGAAATATAGCAGCAAGGGAAGTCCATCATGTTGGGAATAGTGTCCTAAAAGCATGAGATGTAATAGGATATTTATTATTTAATTAATAAAAGAGTTTATTCATCATTTTATGTGCATATATTTATGAATATTTTATGAATATCAAATGAAAATTCCGTGATTGTTTATGTAACCTTAAACATAGTATATACGTGTTATATACGAGAGGATAGTGTTTAAGGATAATAATAAAAAACATTGTTCATGATGAATTTAATTAAAGTTTGGAATCTTTAATTAAAACATATTAATACATGTCATTCCCATTTAGAATGGAACGGTGTTATTCGCACTGTTAATATGGTGAGATATTGAATGAGTGTATTTCGCATAATAAGATTATGTGGAACAAGGACACAGACACAATATGAATTTCTAATAATTTCCGTTAAAGCATAGAAATTCTAATTGAGTCTACCGATGGTCATATATAGGATGATCTTAATCCTGAGTTCTTAACAAACTCCTATTTATGGATTTATGTCTTTTAATTTACTCGGTACGGATTCCGAGATCCTGAATCCTATTCCTTGTATTTTGGAGACATAATGAAATAGGTAGCTGGGAATGTTATTGTACGAGATAGAATCCATTCCTTCTTGAGAAAGAAGTAGATAAATAATTCTCTTGAGTGTTGATTCGGTCCTTGGATTAGTAAGAGCGCTATGGTTCATGAATGTGTTTTATGAATCACTATCCATCAGAGAATCAATGGTACTCAAGGATGAAGATATAATTAGAAAGGTTAACTTATTTCACCTAGCTCTAATTATGAATTATTTATGGAGAATTGATCTATATGTAATGACTATATCAAATGGACACTTCGCAGTTTAGAAGTAATTAATGTCTATAATTTCGAGAGTTCAATTCCAAGTTTATAGTGGAGTAACTATAATTAAATACTCAAAAAATAATTAATTGAGAATTAATTATTATTATTTAAATAATGTGATTATTTAAATTTAAATTTGAACACATCTAGATTTATCCATTTAAACTTATTTGATAAGTTGTTCAATTTAGAATTCAAATTAATTTAAGTTTGACTTAAATTTGAATTTGAATATGAATCAAAATTGGACTACAGGATAAAGGATGATTTTTCTCTTCCTTCCCTATCTGAATTGGCGCCACACACAGGGTTAGGAAACCCTAATCATGGCCGGCCACTAAAGGATAAAGGGGAAGGGATTTTTTGTTCAAAATTCAAAATTGGAGATAAGGATTTAATTCTGTTTTGAAGTCTGACTTCTACTCTTTAAATATGAGAATGATAGAAAATTGTGGACACAATTTTTGAAACATTTTTTCAGCCCTAATACAGTGTGGCCGAAATTCTCAGAGGAAAAAGAGAAAATATTTTTCTCCAAAAAAATTTCACATCGTGCATGCGTTGGTGTTTGTGGAAATTCGGGTGTTTAAGAAACCTATTTTGTCTCATGTGTGCCTACACACATGTCTACGTGGAATCAAGGAATTGACGTGGAAGACTTTGGTATTCTAAACACAAAGATTAGAGCAAGGACTGTTCGTGGTCAAAGAACTCAAGATATCATCCGAGTCGGTTTCCAGGTATTTTTTTCGGAATTGAGTTCTTGATGTAAATTAATGCGATTAATTTATTCGTGCATAAATTAATATAATTTATAGAGTATCTCAAAAGTTTTATAAAATTTTTTTGTTATACACGATCCCTCTTTCCCCACGCTTTCACAACCGAATTTGATTCGGCAATCAACACATCAAGCTGGTGCTAGTCCAGTGGTCGCACAGTCTCCAGGAAGATGTAACCTGGGAAGAGCTTGAGCCTTTCAGCCGGCTCTATGACTTGCCTGACCTTGAGGACAAGGTCAATGTTGATGGGGTGGGAAGTGATACGTGGGAAGGTTTGAATCTTGATGAGGATTGGATTCAAAAGAAGTTAAACAAATGGGTTGGTCCTGATACCCAATCGGGAAAACTCAAGGTCAGGCCCAAGAAGACTCTTGGGCTGCTGAAACAACTTAGGGCCAGGCCCAAGGCAACTCTTCTTCAGCTGAAGTTCAACGTGTTGGATCAGAAGGAAAGATCGAGAAAACTCAAGAAAAAGAGGAAGGCACAACACGTGAGAGGAGGCCAAGTTGGTTTGAGGAATTTGAGATGGGAAAAAACCGTTGAGAAGTTGCGGAGCTGCAGGGACGGATGGTGGTCAGGCATCAGCTGGTTTTCGTTGGCAATATGTTATTTTGTTGCTTTAATCAATAATTTGTTAGAATGGGATTCTGGGAAATGGGGGAAAAATATAAAAGGAACCGTTGTCTGTAATCTGTATGGGAGATTTTTATGTGAATTTTGGAGAGTTTTTTGTAAGCAGTTAGGCACTGACTCAAAGAGTGCATTCTTTCAATACAAACCATTTTCGTTTGTATCAAAAAGTCCGGATTTGTCAAGAAAACGAGGGCGAGAAAAGTAACGCTAGAACAGAGAAACGCAAGAAAGGCCAAAGGAAGTACAACATTTCTATTAGTAAAGCTAGGAAGACAGAGTGTGGTAGAAATAAAGGCGTTTTCAAAAGGGCCATGGCTGGAAACTCAAAGCTAGAAAGAAAAGAGACTCAGGGGAAATGGTAAGAGGAAACCATTGAAATAAATATTTTTTCCTCATAAATGTAACCCTCATAAATATTTTTTCCTATAATTGTCTCATTGCAATAATTTCTTCTCATATATGTCCTAGTCAAAACTTCTTTTTTTGCAAAATGACCCTCTCAAATACTTTTTTTTATATATATCTAATAAATAATCTTTAATATTTTGTTCTCAAATGTATCTTTGCAAAAACATTTTATCCGTAATTTATTCAAATAAATTTCTTTCATTTATATCACTAATTAACTTTTTGTCTAATTCGCCTCATTAAAAACTTTTTTCCTTTTAATGTTGCTCTATTTTATATTTTTTCTACCGAATTTTATTTTTAAAAAAGCAATGATAAAAAAACATAAACCATAAAATTTTTAAAAAAGAATTAGGACCTTCATATTGAAAAAAAGAAACATGTGAATGTACTTGCTTTTCAACAAGTAATAGGAAAAGGGCCAGTTCTCGAGATGGAGGGAAGAGAGTGCCCGTACTGCCCGAGTCTTCGTCCTTCAGAGAGTTCGAGTGAGGAAACCTAGAGAGACCAAACACACCAACTTTTGTTTTTGAAGAGGAAATTGAAGATGAAGACCCAAATGCTGAACTTAAGGGCTTCGGGTAATTCTTTTATCTTTTCTCTCTTTCGGATTTTCAAATTATCCCATGGTTTTTCGGCCTTCCTTTTATCTTTTCTCTCTTTCGGATTTTCAAATTATCCCATGGTTTTTCGGCCTTCGATAACTATCGGCCACCGGGTACCAGTTGGTAACTCAGACCAGTAGTTACCACAGTGGATACCATCTGGTATAATGGTGGATACCTTTGAGTATCTTAACGGTTTATTTAAAACTCGTTCATTTCACCAATTTGAGTTTTTAATTTTAAATTTCTACAGTAAAAAGTTCTAAAAAAATATCACATCTAACCTTTTCTGTTACAATGAAAAGCTCTCAGAAAATGTCACATCTCAACTCGAATTGAAAATTCGAATCCACAAAGTAAACGAAATCTTAGTATTCCAAAACATAGTATGATAACATAGCGTGACACTTTCTGAAATTATCTTTTGTTATTTTTTATTTTTAAATAATAAGTCAATCCAAGCCTCAGAATTGAGGGAGTTGTCAATAAAACCCATCGCGAGGTATTCATCCAAGTTTTGACTATGGCCCAAGGCTTAGAGGAACAAAATTCTTGTGTTTTGAGGCTTCGGGCATAAACCATTCTGATATTGTAGGATCAAGTTCCATATCTTTCATCCTAAGACTTGTTCGATAAGCACTTTAGATTCTAAGAAATAGGGAATGAAAGCACCAAAATCATGACAAAATTCGCTGATTATCGCAACAAATACTAGCCAAGTGCTTCGATAGATAACCAGAAAAACACAGAGAAAAGAAAATGCAAGGGAGAGGGGGTAATAAACAATAATGGTTGGACAAAATTTGAAAGCCACATATCCGTATACAACATGGTAATCTACAAAAGCTTTAGATAAATTGCTTCAAGAACTCTGTTGCTACCAACCTTCCTCGTGTATTCACCGACATCTTAAGTTCACTTATCTCTTTATCAATATCCTGCAAATGGGAAAATCAAAGTGTTTAGAAACTTTTTATCCCAAACCATAGCAATGCAGTAATGAAGAGGAAGAGGAGAAGTTTCCTCTCAGTATCCTATTAGAGTAGGGGAAAATGCAATACTGAACGGCACAAGAAGCAGAAAAGAAACCAGGAAAAGAAATTGTAAATTATCAGTAGGATTTTATAGGCTGTTCAAGAAAGGTAATGTTTAAAGTTATATTCACCATTAAAAAAAAAAGAAGTTATTTTCAAATACAGCTAAAACTACTGAGGAACAACTACCATGTAAGACTTACTGTATATTACAACAACAAACTACTAAACCCTAAACTAAGAGGGTTGTAATTTATCGGTCCAGTTTATGCCAACATTTTAATACCAGCTGACGTATCATATGAGTCGTCTATTTTTTGGTAGGTATTGTATAAAAAAATTGCCATGCCAAATAATATTAAAAAGTTAATTTGCATCTTGCAATGAAAAGTTTAAAACTCGTTACCTCGCAAGTTGCTATCAACAGATTAGGATAAAAGTTGGGATCCGTAACACTACTCACATATATAAGGTAGTCACATCTGATATAGTAGGTGCAATGTTAAACTTTGCTGAACAACAGAAGATAAGGTACTATAAAAGGCAAATCTTTTGCAATTAGAATTCAGAAACTCTGGGGGTTCGTCACTATTTTCTTGCTACGTTAATATGAAACTAAGAAACGATATACACATATCTACAATCATTCGACGAGTATAAAATAGATTAAACTACGCAATTTTACGGGGTTTAGTAAAGTTCTTGCCTCCATGAATTGTACAATAAAATCAATGAGCTTGTGCTTCTGCATCTCCTCACAGTGGTAATTTGTTATAAGAAAACTAATATCATAACCCTGCACAACAAAGCAACAAAAAGAACAAACAAACAAACAGTTATAAAAGCTGATTGGTGAACTGCCAGGGAATGCCATCTACAAACAAGCCATGGAATTGACACGTGTTTTACCAAAGTTTTCTCACAGGCGAGTGGGACATTGGAAAGTCTCAAGCACTATAAAAAATAAAAATTAAAAAAAAAGAGAAAAAAAAAGAAAGAAAGAGAGAAAGAAAAGAGACTAATACAAGCTCCACTGCTCCAGAGGACAAGGCCTACATACCTGTACTGGCTTTCTTCTCAACACTTGGAATGCTTCTGCTCTCATCGACAAAAATCTAAGAAATTTTTTAGTCAGTATGTTTTCGAGTTCATCCGCCTGCTTTACCTATGCATGAGGAGAAAAGATATGGGTGAGTGATTGTTACTTTATGTGCCTATTATCATAGATGAATGGTCAATCATTTCAGTGTAAGAATTGTGAACTTGAAATTATAAGCAAAGTCCTCCTTGAGAATATAATTCTTTAGGCCCCACAAAAGACTAATCTCCGTGTCTTAGAAATTAGAATTGGCTACGTAAGGTTAATTCACTTTTCAATCAATCAAACACAATAAAACATCAAACAGAAAAGAGAGTTATTCATAATCACCTTGAGGCTTATGCGCAATGAATTAATGGACGTCTCTATTAAACATTTTTCAGCCTCATTCCGACAGATCACAACCTGAAACAACAATTGAAATGTCAAAAATGAAAAAAAAAAAAAAAATTATCCATGAAAGAAATTAAGCAAGTAAGATGAGATAATGATTGCAAGCAGCAACACCAATGACTCGAAAGGAAATATTGAGCAACTAATTTTGCCCTAGTTGTCAACAATTACAAAAAGCAGTATTTTGCATAAAGAACTGTCGTCTATAATGTAAGGATAAATAAATGAATAAATAAATAGAAAGGCTCTTACAGGATTCAGAAGAAGTTCTGGGCTGGTCCTGCAAAACATGGAGAAATCTATTACATATTTTACATACATGCACCACAAAAGAATGTTCTGAAAAAAAAAGGACAAAAAAAAAAAAAACAAAGGTAGCACATTTGTAATGCCCTGACACATAACATACTTGAGCTCAACCTCAGGCTTGTTATGTCTCTCAACTTCTTGGCAAGGAAAGTTCTGCAAACAGCCAAAAAAAAAAAAAAAGAAAAAACAGAGAGAGGGACCATTAAAACAAGCATTTGCTGGAAAAGGAAAAAAACTCCCATGAAATTTTGTTTCTTGAATGTAACTTCCATATGAGAAGCTAATGTAACTTTTATATGAGAAGCTAAGTACAATTAAGACCTATTATAAGTACCTGTAAGCACATTGCGGCCTCAAGAGTATTCCTTATGCACGTCAAATACAAACGTAATGTGTTTGCCTGCAAATTTTTTCCAAGCCCACATTAATGAGATTAAAAAAATGCCCATTTCAGGCGGTAAAGCCCTAATTTTTTGTATCCTACAAAAGACATTCATATTTCCTAAAATCTTGAGAAAATTAGAAAGGGCTGAGGCAGATTTGGACAGAAGAAGCTGTAAATAATTGTGATTTAAGTGAAATTCGAGAGTTTTTTTTTTCCGGCAACAAGAAGAAGAGGAAGTTAAAGGGGCTTACCATAATGTGTGTGAGGAGATGGTGATTTATAAAGAGGAGATTTTTGGTTGAATTGATCTGGAGAATGAGTTTGGGGATGCTAATGTGCGCTTGGTCCACCGTATAAGCGCTAAAATCCTTGAGGCGACGGCGAGGAAATCACGGCGAGAGTTTTGGGCAGAATCGGGTGGGCCCGTTTTGCAGGGGCTGTCGGCCTGCAGACGATGGCAACCTTAGAGGCGGCGGAGGACGTCGGCTGGGTCGGGCTTGGCGGATCTCGGCTCGCCGGAGAGAGGAGAGAGAGGGTGGCGTTGTCTAGAGAAAGAGAGAGGGGAGAGTTTTTAAAGCCTCTTGCCCTCTTTTCATTTTACGTTCTTTTCTTTTATCATTTTTTTATAAGTGTTAAAATATTATTAAAGTTTTGAATTTTTATTCAAACAAATAGAAAGGTGTAAATGACATTTCACACCTAAAAAAGGTCTTCAGTGTACCAAAAACACATTCTGAAAACACCTGATATTCACGTGAAATTATTAAAAATATTAAATATTAAACTCATAATTTGATATAATACAGACTATTAAAATATAAAAATCACATTTTTGAAAACACCTAGATATTCACCTGAAATTATTCAAAATATTAAATATTAAACTTATAATTTGATATACTACAGAATATTAAAATAAAATTTTTCTATTTTTTTATGACTTGCGTTCAAAAAGAAATATATTTGTACATACGACCTACCTTATATGAGGAGCAGTGCTGAAACTTTGGACGGGCCGCCCGTGACCACCGAAAAGTCTAAATTTTTGCCCGATTACCGAACCCGATTTGCTCGAAAATTCGGGCTGCCCGACCCGACCCGAAAATTTCCATGGACGGGCTTCGGGCAGAGGAAGCTTGCCCGTGCCCGGTCGGGCTGCCCGATGCCCGACCGGCTGCCCGAAATTTTTTTTTTTATATTATATTTTTATGTTGTTGAAATAAGTATTTGTATAATTACAATGTGTAATTGTGTATATTACAATTTGAAATATGAAATGAACACACGACACGAACGAACTATATAAAAAAAATTACTTCTTCATTGATTTTTAAATTTGTAATTCATGATTGCCTCATTAAAAACCTTACCAAGAAAAACCCAATTGGGATAAAAACTTGGTAAGGAAAAAAGAGTGCAATCATTGTGAGACGAATTACAAATTTGATGAATTTACAAAGTCTATACAAGATTACAAATTACAATAAACACTATACAAATTAGAAATTACAAAGTAAATAAATATTTACAAAGAAATTATCAAGATGAAGCAGAAGGATCATCTTGAAAATTAAAAGTTAATCTATTAAATTCGTCGATCCATTCTTGGTTTGCCGGTGAGATTGTATCGTGTAAGCATTGGTCGGAACGGTCTCAATCCTTGATGCACACCAAAGCTTCAACAATATCCTGCTGCAATGCGTTTCTCCGTTCTTCAAGTATTCGGCCGGTTATACTGAATGCTTGTTCGGCTGCAACAGTGGAGACCAGGATCGAAAAAATATCCATTGCCAGTCGTGTTAGGATCAGCCAAGTTAATGCTCGTGCCCTCCACCACTCAACCAAATCAAACACCTCACTACTGTCTACAACTAAGCCCTCACTCAGGTACGCCATTAACTCGTTGAATCCGCCGCCACCTCTTGATGAAGATCCACTTCCACTCTCAGATTCTTCTTGACCTTGACTC